AAATTTAGCCCTGATTCGGGAGGTCTCATTTCACTGTTGTACCTTGAAATTTATGACATTATGAATACTGAGTTGAGCATCGAGAGTTTGCACAATATTATTATCTCCTTGTGCTAAGTGTGTTCTAGTAAATATCTTTCACTGTTAACATAATGAGAGTCATATATTATGCACATTGTACCAGTATGAAAGTGCCTTCTAACAAATATTGTAACATGCAGAGCAACTTATGAAATATATAATCATTTATTCAGTGTGTTTAATGTTATTAAGTTTTTTAAGAAAGTTCATCATAGGACCATAGATAAAAGTTCACATTGTTATCCATATTGGTGTTCTGTATATAAGACAAATTTTTAAAAAATCCCCTAAAATAAAATATAGAAGTTAATGCAATATGAGCTGCATCAGTGTTTAATATGTCTAACTTACTTGAGATTAATCTGCTTCAGTAAACTCTTTAATAAAACTTATTCCAGAGTTAAAAATTATTTGAAGGTTTAGGGTTCTGATCACTTCTCGGAAATCTTTTAAAGCTTAACTCTTGAGAGCTCATACAAGTGACTTAAGAATATCAGTATTTCTTGATTCAAAACTTTCACAGAAAAACTAGGCAGGTGAGACATGAGTGCTCAACTAGAAGTAAAAACAAATCAGTGTTCAGTGTGTCTCAAAGTCTTTTCTAAAAAATCACTTTTAACAAGACACTTGAGAATTCACACAGGAGAAAGACCTTATCAATGTGCATTATGTCTTAAAGACTATCAGCAAAATGCACATTTAGTAAATCATATGAGAGTTCATACTGGAGAGACACCATTTCAGTGTCCGTTGTGTCAAAAAGGCTTTACACGAAAAGACGGTGTAATAAAACATATGGTTGTTCACACAGAAGAGAAGTCGTGTGAGAGCTCATTGAGTTCAAAAGATTTTGTATGCAAATCATATCTATTGCAACAAACTATAGTTCATGGAAAAAACAAAGCCTATCAGTGCTCAGAGTGCCCAAAAACCTTCGAACGTAAACCAAATTTGGTCAAGCACATGAGAATCACACGAGAGAAAAGCCATTTCAGTGTTCATTATGTCTGAAAGCTTTTACTCAAAATTCCCACTTAATAATACACAAGAGACTTCATACAGGAGAGAAACCACATCAGTGTTCAGTGTGTCTGAAAGGCTTTACTCAGAAATCTCATTTAATAAAGCACATGAATGTGCACACAAAAGAGAAGCCATTTCAGTGCTCGGAATGTCTTAAAGATTTTTCAGATAAATCATCACTAGCAAGTCATACGAGAATTCATACAGGTGAAAAACCGTATCAATGTTCAGAATGTCAAAAATGCTTCTCGGTAAGTTCGTCTCTAGTGAAACATACGATACGTCATATAGGAAGGAGACCATATTGCTGTTCAGAGTGTGGAAAAGTGTTTACACAAAAATCAGATTTAATAAGACATATGAGGGTTCACACAGGAGATAAACCACATCGCTGTCCAGAC